TTTGTATCTCACAATTTTGACTGTGCATGTTTTGAATTGTTAGTTAATATGGCAGCACTGTTCCCAGCAAGTTAATGCAGAAATACAATAAAGTGTGCATTTTGGACATGCGCATAAAAAAATACACACCAAGATGCGCATAAATCCTAAAAATGCCCATTACTGAGTAGGAACTTTTTATTCGATAAGAAAAAATTTGCTTAAACTATGATGGAAACATTTTCCGAACAAATTCCAGTGTCTGATGATAAAAATGTGTGTGAATGTACAAACCAGCAGGCAAGCCACATGTAAAACATCTGAAATGTTGTTTTGGTCGTTTTTAGACACCGTAAGTGTTTCAGCAGTTAGTGTTATTACATTATGAATTACCTCTAAAATAGTCAAGAGTGTCTGTGCTCCACTTCTCACGCCCTCAAGCTCCACCTCGCGTTCATTGTCGACATTGTCTTTTGAGGCTCAAGTCATTTATTAAATGAGTAAAAGATTCACACAGCTTATCTGACCAAAGCAAATTTTGCTTTTACTTTTGATATTTGGAGTTGAGCAGGAAGTGACGATTTTGTTTTCTTTGACTCGCAGGGGTGATAGCGTTCCGGCACCACGCCGGATTTCCGGCGTACTGTGGCTGCGGGGGGAAAAAAATCAGGTTCACGGATATTGATCTGTCATTTCTCTAGATTCACAGAATTCACTCACTGCTGAAAGCGGCGGATTGGTTTTTATTAAGTGCCATTTTGTGTGCTCGTGAATCATCTTTTGAGTGTAGACGCCATGTAAATAAAAGATTAATTGTGTAATTTAGAGAGCTTTTTTAAATTATAACGGATCTTTGTGAGATCTCTATGAACTAAGATTAGTGACGCTTTTTAGTGATAATAAGAGGAGCGTGCTTTGCACTTTCCAGGCTATAATCCATTCAGAATTTGTATGAAACTTTCGTTTTCGGCACATATACGCTGACATGTTTTGGGAATGACATCTGCATATTTACGCTGGGATAATTCTCGAAATAACGGTGAAGCAACAGACGGGACAAAAATATATTTCCCCCTTCTCTTTAAACAACTTAGTGTTTCAGCTATGAAATAGTTCAGTTTTGTATGTATCCTAATAGCAAAGTGTTTATATTTAGTTTCGTTTTTTATTATTTAGAAAAACGCTTATTTAGAAAAACGTTTGGAGCATTTTTTATTCGTTAAAAATAAGTTTTTTTAACGAACAGCGCCCAGCGGAAGACCATCATTGTATGTTTGATCAGTTTGCCTTCTCAGATCATCACGACTTGCCTAAAATAAAAGATATAAAACAGTTCAAGTATAAAACAATGGTAGCTTAAACGTTAAAGAATGTGTGCTATTAGGCGCATTGTTTGCTTATAAAAAGCTTGCAGGACATCGAGGCGCCAGAGCAATCACTTGCATTTTTTCAGTGGGAGCAATTTAAAGTTATCCGTCATTTTTGCTCACAAAGTACGAGTAATACATCAAAAAACATTACATTACAGCGTTTGGGGGTTGGATTGGGGCTGCAGCGTGACACGGCCCAAAGCAGCATGTCTGTTCAGACAGCAGTAAATAACTGAGCAACTATTTGAACTGCACAACCGTTTGTAAATGATAAATTAACATTTATTTTATATCTTTTTTTCTTCATAAACTGTGCAGCTTTTGTCTTTTCAATGTATCTTTTTGGGCTTCTGGAAGAACATTTCCTGAGCCTCTTGGTATGGAAAGTCAGAAAGCGCCCTTCTTACATAGTGGTAGGGGAAACACTGGACTGCATTATAAGAGAACCGTAAATTTATTTAGTGTGATAAAACAGCAAAAATTCTGTCCCACGCTCATGACCAAAAAAACTAAAAGAGGTCGGCTGTGGCATAATAAAAGCTGCACTACTTTTGTGTTTTCATGTTGCATTTGTCGATCATCTGCAAATTCTTTATAAGTCTTGTCTCGCGTTGGCAGATTTCAACATTACTACAATACATTTTTAATACTTTATCTCAATGGTCTCAAACTCAATTTCTGGAGGACTGCAGCTCCGCATAATTTAGCTCTAACTCACATCTGCTTAATAGTCTCTAGTTTTGAAGAGCTTGATTAGTTGGATCAGCTGTTTTTGATTAGGGTTGAAGCAAAAGTGTGCAGAGCTACGGCCCTCCAGGAATCGAGTTTAAGACCTGTGGTTTATCTCATCCACGAACATGATTTTTTGAGGAGTCTCGTAGGATGTAATGAAGACCACAACTTCCATGATTCCACACTTGTGGACGTCATCAAAATACTATTTTGTTTGTTGTGAGTACATCCCCTCTAGTGGTAAAAAAAGACATCCTCTGCCTTTACAATTATCCAATTGTTGTCTGTTGTCTGTCCAATAGTCTGAAAATTGTGATGAATAAGTCAGATGCAGTAAACCACTGAACGCCATGCAGTGGAAATCAGTAATCTATGTTCACGTTTCTTCACTGTTGTTGCGTCAGCGGTTTTGTGGTTTTGATAGCTGTGCTGCAACTCAATGTTCAGTTGTGACCTCGCCTGCGCATGTTTCCAAATCATTTGTGTTTGGCTCAGCTGTAAACGTCACCAGCGAGAACTGCACAAAATGTCAACATCGGTGTACTGCTGTTTGCTCAGACGTAAACATGACCATGTAACCCGAAGAGCAGGCAGGAGCGCTTTGGAATCAGAAAACGCCGATAAGGGGTTGAGCGGGTCAATGAGATACTGAAAAGTTCACACAGAACATTGCGGAGCTTGTTGGTTTTCAGAGCGCTTGCATGAGCTGTTATAATTGAGCTGCAGCAGGTTTTTGCGTGGGCGAGTCGAAGTCTTCAGCCATCTGTCTAAATATACAGGAGACTAAATCGTGTTTGAAGGATTCTTTCAGACTTGTACGGTTTCAGTCAGACTGTGACAACTTAATAATTTAAGAATGCTTCAAATCAGGCTTCTAGGTCACATTAGAGAAATGCTGGCAATTGTGTTAGGTACATAGGAGGGATATATGACGCACAGTATAATCAGAAGTCCATGGAAACTTGTTTCTGCCACTGAATATGAAACTAGGACTTTCTTTGTGTCAATTACAAGTATATTTCCCAAATCTTGGTTCAGACTTTTCTTCTTTTTTTTGGTTGAAGAGATTGTTCACACAAAAATGAAAATTCTGTCGTTTACTCGTCCGTGTTAGTCATTTCAAACATGTTTAAAAATGTTTCCCATGTTGAACACAAAACAATATATTTAGCAGAATTTTGGAAATATCCATTGACTTTCATATTATTTTATTTCCTACTATAGACCACCTGACAAATGTCTTGTCGTCTATTCCAGTTGTAAGAGCAACAAATAATAACTTGACTTGTAGTTGATCATTTGGAAAAGTGTCAGAAAGTAGATTTTTCAGATGAATCGTCTGTTGAACTGCATCCCAATCATCACAAATACTACAGAATACCTATTGGAATCTGCATGGACACAAGATTCTCACAGAAATCAGTCAAGTTTGGTAAAGAAAAAAGAATTGTTGTTGCCCATTAGATTACAAACCACAGGAGAGGGCAAATTCTTCAGCAGGATAGCGCTCCTCATACTTCGGCCTCCACATCAAAGTTCCTAAAAGCAAAGAAGGTCAAGGTGCTCCAGAATTGGCCAGCCTAGACAGCAAATATGAACATTATTGAGCATGTGTAGAGTAAGATGGAGGAGGCTTTGAAGAAGAATCCAAATAATCTTAATTAATGGAGTCCTGCAACAGAGCTTTCTTTGCCATTCAGATGCCTTTATTAATAAGTTATTTGAGTCATTGCAGAGATGTATGGATGCAGTCCTCCAAGCTCATGGCAGTCATACATAATATTAATTATTTTTTCACTGCACCATGACTTTATATTCTATACTGTACATTATTTCTATTGTGACAAGACTTTTGTCTAAGCAAAGTCAGACCTTACTGTCCTTAATAAATAATTAAAAATCATGGCATGATCATAAATTATTTTGGTCGGATATGTGTAATCTAGAGGCCTTTGCCTTTCATATTAACCACTTCTGATACTAAGTGATCAACTAAGTCAGGTTTTTATTTGTTGTTCCTAAAACTAGGATAGGCGACAAGACTTTTGTCAGGTAGTGAATGGATGTTACCGGTTTCCAACATGTTTTCAATATATCTTGAATCTTGGATTTGTGGTCAACAAAAAAAAATAAATCTCTTTAAAATTCTTCAGAACTACTTGTGCTTGCATAAATGGTAGGAAATTGTTGGAAACTAACTTCAATGTCTTTTTTCAAAGAATCGTTCATTACTCTACTCCATAAATATTGAATCACTTAAAAAAAATCACAATTTTAAGTCTCAGCTTATTTTTACTCTAAATTGATGAGAAACATGAAAAATATGACAAATTTTTGGGGCAAATGTATTGAAATCACTACCCCTTTTCAGCTGAATTTTGTTTATACAGTAGGATTTACAAATGACAGCAGTACAATTTAAAAACAATAAAACTATTAAAGTAAATATTTCTCTTTCTAATCGACTTTCTTTCCATTCAAGAATCCTGGAAAAGTGTGTCGGTTTGGTTTATCACATACAGTTTATTGCCTGATTTTTTTTTCTCCAGCCAGTTTTCCTTCTTCTTCTTCTTCTGGCTCATCGTGTATTACATTCCATTTCTACATCCACCCATAACCACTATTTAATTGAAGGCCAAGAATCTGGAGATTTAGGACACTGCGCTCCTTGTCCTCCAGGAATTAGGGCCATCTTTGTATTTACTTACTACTTTGGAAAATCACAAAATGGTGCATTCACTGAAGTCTGGAAATGATTTGTAGTGAACACTATGTTCAGCAGTAAAAAAAAAAACACTGTGAAAAAACAAGTCCTAACTAGATCAGTTAGATTAAAACTAGACGTACTGTCTTGTGTAACCGACTTTTACACACCCAGATGTGTCTAATTCTTCCTTCCTCTTTTCTGGGCTCTTCTAGGCAAATAAAAACCAGCACAACCAACAACCTCACCAGATCTGGAATTAACCATGGTGGACAAGATGGCCTCTTTCGGACACATCCTGCTGCGGCGGCGGGCGCTAGATTTTTCAGGAGAGGAGACGCGGTTTGCTCGGTGTTTGTCCACACTGGACCTGGTGGCTCTCGGCGTGGGATCAACACTGGGTGCTGGAGTTTACGTTCTGGCTGGAGAAGTTGCAAGAGAGAAGGCTGGTCCTGCTATAGTGTTATGCTTCCTCGTGGCCGCTCTTTCCTCCATGCTGGCTGGATTGTGCTATGCAGAATTCGGCGCTCGAGTCCCGAAGACTGGATCTGCATACTTGTATAGCTACGTAACAGTTGGCGAAATCTGGGCCTTCATCACTGGTTGGAACCTCATCCTCTCATATGTTATAGGTAAGTTTAGTACTAGAGTGCCCTCCATTGATATTGGTACTTTTGGTTAAAATGAGCAAAGTGTTTATTGATTAGTGTGTTTATTGATTGAATGAATGTAAATTACCTTATTTTCTCCTCCTCATGTTGTTTTAAACCTTTATGAGTGTCTTCTGAAGAAAACAAGATTCTGAAGAACACCGGTTGTCGGGGGGTTGTCAGCATTTTTGCTATAATTAATATATCTTCTTTTATATTCAACAGAAGAGTTATGCTTTGCTTGAAAGGGGTGATCGTTAGACTGTCACAACAAATTTAGAATTATGACATGACACTTGTCATAAGCACCTATAAAATCTCATTTTTATTTATGACACATTTTATTAAGTGTCATTCGCTCAGTTATGTCTTTTTAAAAGCAATGGTGACACTGTTTGAGTTGTCTTTGTTAGGATGACTTGACATAATCAAATACAAAATAATCTGTGTTTGTCTTGATGAAAACTTGACATTACCACAACAGCATGATTTTTCATAAATTCGTCATAAACATGATTTTCATGAGGCCATAATAATTACGAAGGCATTTCTGATCACATTTAAATCAATAATGTGTCCAGGCTCTCAAAAGAGGCTTTAAAATCCACAGCAAGAGAGGCTCTGAGCTCTAATGGCGCTAATTTCAGCTAGCTTCCCTGCTGAAAAATCCAGCTTAAACCAGCCTAGGCTGGTTGGCTGGTTTTAGCTGGTCGACCAGGCTGGTTTTAGAGGGGTTTTGGCCACTTCCAGGCTGGTTTCCAGCCATTTCCAGCCTGGTCTTAGCTGGTCAGGCTGGGAGATGACCAGCTAAAATCAGCTTGACCAGCCTAGCCAGGCTGAGAGCCCAGCCAAAACCAGCTATGTCCAGCTTAAACCAGGCTGGTCAAGCTGGTTTTAGCTGGATTAAGCTGGTCATTTTTCAGCCTGACCAGCTAAGACCAGGCTGTAAATGGCTGAAAACCAGCCTGGAAATGGCCAACACCCCTCTAAAACCAGGCTGGTCAACCAACTAAAACCAGCCAACCAGCCTAGGCTGGTTTAAGCTGGATTTTTCAGCAGGGTTGATGCTTAAGCTAGGTGAGGAAGACGCTTCACGGTCTTTTTCCATATATTTATCCTTTTTTTTAGACATGTTAAGTGACAATATAATACTACGCACTCTAAGAAAGTCGGGTAAATAAATGTAGGTGGCCAAAAGGTTCTAAAACAATGAGGTTTGTAAAGATGGAATGATAAGTTAATGGGAGCTGGTTGCACTTACGTCTATACCGAAGGCGACATACCCGAAAGTTTTGTCAAATAATGTTATAACAGGATCATTGATACTTAATGACATTTAATCACTAATGAAATTTGTTCTACTGTTAGGTAAAGAAAATCCAGTATTGAGCTAGCTACTTTAAAAATGTAGTAAGCTAGCTATTAGCTACTTGACTTAAAATGTAGCTCAACTACACTAAAATCTACCCCCTGGGAAATGTAGCAAGCTAAGCTAAAAACTACATGGCAAAAGTAGCTTAGTTACATCTAAGCTATTTTTACAGTTTTCATTTTTAAATCGAAGCAACTTAAATCTCAAGTCAATCATATCTTGGTGATCAATGAAACATATGAGGCATTATAGTTCAGTTCAGTTATTTACTGTAAATAATATGCTGTACCAAACAGAAACAAATTATAGCATATAACAGCAAAAACAAAAAAAAAACATTAAAACCAGGTGTTACACATTTAAAATACTATAGTCGTTTATAGTAAAGGGAAATGTTTTGAAATAAACATTACAGTGTATATGATACGGTATATATATATATTCCTGCCTCACAGCTCCGTGAATGTCGGTGCCGTCACTTTTTGATCCGTGATCGGTAAATGTAGCTTGTGTGGATGCTACTGCGCTACTTGACTAATAAAATAGCTTCGCTACTGTAAAGTTATTTGATATAGAATGTATCAGCGCTACCACCACGCTACTGAGAAATGTAGTTAAGTTAGTAGCTTCACTACTTGTAGCGACGCTACTGCCCAACACTGAGAAAAACATTGCTGTTATAAAAGCCATGACACAATTATATTTCCATCATGACAGTCATGTTTATGACAGATTTATGATAAGTTGTCTTTGCTTATGTCAAGTTGTCACGAAGACATCTCAAACTAATGCCAACTTTGCATTTAATATGATGAATGAATGAATAAATAAATGACACTGAATAATACATAAAAACTCATTCATATTCATTACATCTCATGTTATGAATGTTTCATGACAGTCTCATGGACACCCCTTCAAGTAAGCTGTTTCCACTAAACTTTTAGGCTTTTGATCTTTCTTTTTTATCTTGAGGTGCTTCAGTTGTTTTTGAACAAAGGTTTTGTGAACTGTTTAAAACCAAACTGCAAATCTCCAGCTGCAATTCAGCAGAGATTTGCCACTCACACCACCAGTGACAAAGACAGACACACACAGTCACACATTCACTTACCAACACTTACAGATTTTTGGAATTTCATTTCATTATCGTCATGATGGTGATGATCCTGATAGTGTTTTTGCTATTTATTTAAAGCCACTTAATAATTAAACTGAGTGAGTTTAGCTGTTAAGTTACCTCATATGTATACCCCTGTTAAACTAATATTTTGTTGACTAATATATTAATTGATAGGTATTCTAATAATCATGGCACACAAATATTTGATCCTTGATAAAACTAAGTTTGCAATAGTGAGATGTACAGTTGAGTTGTTGAGTATGAGTAGTTTTAGTTTTTATTACATTTTAAGGACAGTGTATTTGATGCACATTTGAAAGATATTCAGAGTTTAAATGAAAATTGCTGGTGTGTGTGCTTTTTTTTTTTAGGTACAGCTAGCGTGGCTCGAGCTTGGAGCTCTACGTTTGATAACTTGATTGAGCAGAAGATCTCCAACTTCTTCAGGGCATCGATGGCCATGAAAGTTCCTGGGAAAGTCCTTGCTGAATATCCAGACTTGTTTGCCCTCATTCTCATCTTGCTACTGACTGGTGAGCAGTCGGAGAACAGACATTATCAGTTAAATGTGTTTTGAATGAACAAATGATGAAAGGAAAGTATATATTTACAAAGGGATAGATAGACAGATAGACAGACAGACAGATAGATAGATAGACAGACAGATAGAGAGACAGATAGAGAGACAGACAGATAGACAGGCAGATAGATAGACAGATAGATAGACAGGCAGATAGACAGATAGACAGATAGATAGATAGATAGATAGATTGATAGATAGATAGATAGATAGATAGATAGATAGATAGATAGATAGATAGATAGATAGATAGATAGATAGATAGATAGATAGATAGATAGATAGATAGATAAAATGTTCAATATTTTTGTTGTGCAATAAAAAACTCATAAAAATACAAATAAAAACAAACTCTAAATAATAGCCTAGTGGTTAAGTGTGCCGACATATAGCACTGTGGTGCTCATGGCGACCTGAGTTTGATTGCCGGCTCAAAGTCCTTTGCTGACCCTTCCCTTTTCTCTCTTCCCATTACTTTGCTGTCTGTAACTTTCAATATTCTGTCCAAATTAAAGGTGAAAAACCCTAAAAATTATACTGTATTGTTGTGAATAAAAACTGCCATATAAAATATAATCCTGAAACAGAACAGATTGTAAACACAAAGATCTTAAATTAAGAAGTCCGACATGATGTTTTTTAAGTAAGAACCACTGAATCAAGTACTAGACCAGTTTGATTAAATTAATAATAAAAAAAAATACATTTTAATATCAATACATACAATTTGATATTGGTGAAATATTACATTTAAATGAATATGCATTATTAAATTTGGTTACAGTTACATGATGAAGAATCGATAACATGAACAGAAAATGAGCAAGCGTAAGGGACATTCATTCTTTCAGAAACGCACATTATCTGTCCCTGAAATAAAAACATAAATACAGCGAATAAAACGTATTTCATCTCAGAAATGTCTAAAATGAACTGATGGTTGATTTCTGTGAGTTGTTCTGTAAAGCATTATGTCATTCAATTTGTTCTTAGATTTTTGTTCTTTATTAAAAACACTTTACCAATGTACAAACTCTGTCATTGTTCTTGTCCTCAACCCAATTAAACCTACAGCTTTAACAGTTTTGTTATGCTAAAAACTGATTTAGAGAAAAGAAACCTCAGAAATAGCAAGTTTAAGTTGTTATCATTTTTTATTGCTATCTACAGTTTATTTATGTTTAGATCTAATAAATCTGTGAGCTAAAAAAGCTTCTTCATGTGCTTTTCACTCAGGATTGCTCGCTTTCGGTGTGAGCGAGTCTGCTCTGGTCAACAAGATCTTCACCGGGATCAATCTGATCGTGCTGGGCTTCATCATCATCTCCGGCTTCGTCAAAGGCAACACGGCAAACTGGAACCTGACCTACGAGTACTTCATCAACGATACAAACATCACCGAACCAGAGTAAATCCAAACTTTGAGCCACAGACTGCTCATTTAGCAGAGCAAATGCAGATCTCCAAGAGTTGTGAAGTGGATAATGAGATTTTCCTCCACAAGATTTAACACATCCGTTTGTCCTCACAGACGGATAGAAAGCACATTTGGAAGTGGAGGCTTTGCTCCGTTCGGCCTTGGCGGCATCTTATCAGGCGCAGCCACCTGTTTCTACGCCTTCGTGGGCTTTGATTGCATTGCTACGACAAGTACGTCTCTGAAATGTCACAGTCATAGAGCACGAATACTGATTTTGTTTTTGTCAGATGAGTCATAAATGTGTGTGCGTGGTTGACTTTAACCTTGTTTTTGTTTTTTTCTATATATATAAATAGGTGAGGAAGCCAAAAACCCAATGCGCTCCATCCCTGTGGGCATCGTGGCCTCGTTGCTCATTTGCTTCTTTGCTTACTTTGGTGTCTCAGCTGCTCTTACGCTCATGATGCCCTATTACAAGCTCAACACTCAGAGTCCTCTGCCTGAGGCCTTCAGTTACGTAGGCTGGGCACCAGCACGATATATTGTAGCCGTGGGTTCACTCTGTGCTCTTTCCACAAGGTAAATCCAAGACTTTTTCTGTCTGTCTTGTGTGCTGTTTCCCAAATCACATATTATTATTTCTGAGTAGTACTCGAAAAGTTTTAGTATGTTTCAATGTGTTTTTCAAAATTACCAGGGTGAGCAGCTTTTTCTGGTAGACATTCAAAGTGCAGACTTCAAAGGTCATGATTCGCAATCATTAAATATTTACTTTGTATAGATTTATTTTACATTCTTAAGTTATTCAAAACATAGATGTTTCAGCACAATGCCTTTCTCATTGCATGGCACAGTCCTCTCACTCCACCCTTTTATCCCACAATCAATCACACTACATTATTAGTTAGACAGCCACTCAATAGTTAAAAACATTTTCAAATCAATATGCTGTAATTCACCACACAAGTTTCTGTTTTCATTTTATTATTTGCATCATTGCTTGCTCAAAATCCGTGATTCACAATATTATAGCGAAACTACAAACTGTTAAAGAAACACAGAAAGGTCCAATTCCTTGTTTATTCCTCTTGGTGTAAGTGATTTTTATTTAAGAATGCAGAACTCGTCTCTTTGTAGTAATCTTTTATTCAGATTACCTCCTCTATGTGACCCAATTACTTCCTCAGTTCCTATACATTTGTTTACGTCATGTCCAAAATCTGTCTTGGAACTGCCGAAGTTATATCTTGTCGCCGTATACTTGATTTATGTTGTCTAATTCGGAACTTCAACTGACGTAATGACTTCCCTAAATATATATATATCTTTTGGCATGGATATTTAAAGCTTGAGATTTGATAAACAGATTAACGCAGTGGTCAAATCCCGGTCAAATTCAGCTTCGACTTTTAAAAACAGTCAAACCAATTTTATCTAGTAAAGAATTTGAAAAAAGAATTTATGCTTTCATTACTTCTAGATTGGACTACTGTAATTCACTATATTTTGGGATCAGTCAGACAGCTCTAACTCGCCTACAGTTTGTTCAAAATGCTGCTGCAAGGCTTTTAACCGGTACCAAAAGGTACCAAAAAATATGACCACATCACACCAGTTTTGCGGTCTTTGCACTGGTTTCCTGTGCACTATCGTGTCACTATTAAAATTGTTCTCCTGGTTTTTAAATCACTAAATGGCCTGTCAGACCTGTTGACTGAACATCAGCCTGGTCGGTCTCTTCGGTCAACTAACCAGAGACTATTATACATCCCAAAGTCGAGGCTGAAATGCAGGGGTGACCGGGCTTTTGCAGTAGCTGGTCCTACCTTGTGGAATGCTCTGCCCCTCTGTAGTTGGTCTATATCATCCCTGTCTTTTTTTAAATGTAGGTTGAAAACTTACCTTTTTGATTTGGAATTTTATCAGTAAGAATTGTTTGTTTTCAGGTATAATAACTATTAGTGAGATTTGTTTGTTTTAGCTATAATTTGTTCTTTTTGATTTGTATTGTTCATCACATATTTTAACCTTTGGTTGTGTATAATAGTGCTATATAAATAAAATTGACATTTTAACATATAAAGCACATTACGAGTAGAGCAGGTAATACAGGTTTTTTATTTTAACATATAAATCACATTACGAGTAGAGCAGGTAATACAGGTTTTTATTTTACCATTTGTACCTGTTACTCGATTCAGAAATTCCATTCCACTGGATTCAAAAATTCCTTTACTGAATTCTGACATGTGGCACAATTTCTGCACAGACAAACAATCTTGAATTGTATGATCAGTAAACTATTGTATTTGCTAATGTATACAAAACCGTGTTTTGTATCACCTAAGAATGTAAAATAAAGCTATGCAAAGCATTTGCTTAATAAGTGCGAATCGAGACCTTCTGAATAATATTATTGAGTAGAGTACCGCACAAAAAATACTGAATTGGCTAATATTTCCCATAATGCTGGGTGCATTAGGAAAGTGGCGCAGTACAACACTTGCTCTAGTTTACTCAGAGGATGTTTTTCTTATCAAAATAATTTCCCACTGCAGTTGAAGCATTTAACCTTTCACTGAAGATGCAGTTGACATGATTTCCGCACTTTTGCAAGAAACGCCAAAATCAAATTATGTGCTATTCATGCCGCCTGTTAGAAATACACCAATATTCATGCGTTTGCATTGACTTTGTATGTAATCTATTCGCATGAATGCTTAATTTAGCTTTTGGTGTGAACCCAACATGACATTAGGATTGGACATAGTTTTAATTGAGGGTAAAAAGGGTTTAAAAACGACAAACATGGCAGCCGATAAGCTAATGTGATTAATCCCTTTTAGGTAGAGGTTTAAAAGATTAATATCTAACCTGATGAAATATACTCATTTCATATTATTCCATTATGTTCATCCGCAACAACATTGTGAACGTTCGAAAAGCTAGTTAGCAATATTTGAAATATGAAGGAAATTAATATGTTGCTTCATCTACAATGTGGTAGAAACTGAGATATTAGAAATGTGGAGGATTTGACGGAAGATTGTCAGTGTAAAACTAACTAATTGAGTTCAGACAGTACGATTTTCAAAGTAGTTGTGTCACAGATCTTCACACTACATGACTATCTGGCATAGTGTTTCGTCAGATTTTCAATCAGAACACATTTTATAGGACATGATTTTGAATTGCCGACAGCTCCAAATATTTAGCATGCCAAATATCTCACAGGCAACTCATCGGCTATTCTCTCAGATCACTTCTTTGATAGTTCACACTGTGACCCAATAAGTTAAGGTAACTCAAACCATTTGAGGAAACCGATTGCACCAAACCATTTAAGTTCATAAACTAATTCTAATGAGTAGTGTGAACTTAAAACTTTTGAGTAAATGAAGCAATTTGAGCACAGTAAAACCCAATAAGTGAAGAGAACTCTACATTTACTGTACTGTACTGTAAAACCCAATATGTTAAGGCAACTCAAACCGTTTCAGGAAACTGATTGCTACAAACAATTTGAGCTAAACTAATCTATATGAGTACTGTGAACTTACTCCATTTAAGATGAAGTAATGAGGTATTCAATGAACTCTACCTAACTCTACCTATTACCTTCAACACTAAGTTCAAAACTCTTTTCATATGAGTAGAATAAACTTTCAGTCAATTTTGAGGTAACTACACTCATGTCATGTGATGTAGTTAACTCTTGATTTTTACAGTGTACTGACGTGAGAGATTTGTCTGTGATTTCTTAAAACCTGTTGGCGATTTAAAATTGGAGCTAAAATCATGCAGTCTGAACTCAGCATAAGCGAGAATAAATTGTTGATGACAAAGTAGTTTGTCCCAAAGCCTGTGTACTCCTCTGTTACACACTTAACACCTTGTTCTTCATAAAATACACATATAAGAGTAGATGGGATTATGTGTTTGTGTTTAACATTTATCTGAATGTGATGTTTTTTTTTTTTTTTTTTCCGCTTAGTTTGCTGGGCTCCATGTTCCCTATGCCTCGAGTGATTTACGCCATGGCTGAGGACGGGCTACTCTTTCGTTCACTTTCCAGGATGAACAAGAGAACCAAAACTCCTCTGCTGGCGACTATTGCGTCTGGAATAGTGGCAGGTTTGTGTTACAGCTTGTTCTGATTTTGCACAGCATGCATCATGTGGTCTAGTCCGAATTGAAAATGTAAATGGGACAAAGAGTAACCAATCAGGACATTATTGCTTCTTTAATTGAGAGTAGCATTAATAACTTTGTTCCTTTTCTACATAAGCAAAGTTTTTGATAGACAAAAGTGATAAACATTTAAAGGCAGACATGTTTTGATGTTGTTAATTTATTTATTTTTTTTTTAATTTAGTTTGTGCTGAAAATTACCCATGATTCTGTGAGGAAAATCCACCAGTCAGAAAGTGCGGCACAATAGGTGTTTAACTCCACCAACTGAAGCTTCTCTATCCTTTTAGAATACTTATACATTTCAGTATAATTATATATTCGAATTCAGCTATAATCTTGAAGTAAGCCTTCCTGTTGTTCTAATATTTGAGCATGGAGCTTGCAACGGCACTCCACGTGATTCAAATGTTCTTAAAATTTGATTGTTAAAAACCTGCAGATACCCCAAATATATAAAGCATACAACCAATGAAGCGTGTTGTTGTGGCCCTTAAGAATAAAAATATTGTTTTCGCTTATCACATTGCTTTTATCACATGATGTTTGACCTCTAATAGCTGGTGATATCTTAAGCTAATGTTTGTAAGGTTTGTCATCATGTTATGACTGGATAAGATTTCAAACATGTTTATTTTGTCTTCTTTCAGCTCTCATGGCGTTTCTGTTTGATCTGGCTGCGTTGGTTGACCTCATGTCCATTGGGACGTTGCTTGCGTACTCTCTTGTGGCTGTTTGCGTTCTCATCCTCAGGTGGGTTTAAACCAGCATCACAAACACTAAGAAATTAGTTTGCCTTGTTTGTTTTAAAAAGCCATATATACACTTTTTTTTTCATAGATGTTTAATGTAATTCAATTGTGATCATTTCGTTTTACATGACTGTTTTAAGAAGTAAAAGGATTACTTTCTAAAGTTCTACTGATCTCAAACTTTTGAGTGTTATTAAGCACATTTACATGCACACAAGGGGTGTTTTTTTACCTGCCTTATTTAGTTCGGTTGAATCGCACTAGAGTTCGTTTTCCCTCTTGGTGCCGTTCGCTTGGGCAGGTGTGAATGTAGCAATCGCTCCGAGTGCACTCCAAAAGCGGACTTAAACAGCTTACAGAGACCTTATTGAAGAGGGAAAAACATCAGCTGATAAATCGTTGGTAATATTTCGGGAAGATGACCATGTCGCAGTTAAACAAAATTAATTCACACCTCCTCCTGAAGTGACATACAATGCGCCTTTGCTGTTTGCAATGCATTAAAAGATTGTTTTCCAGCTCTAGTCGCACTTCATTCTCAAAATGTATAGTTTGTCTAAAGTGATGTATATAAACTGTATAGTATACTATGACCAGGGATACAATACCAGAGCAGTCCTCCCTCCATAATAAAAAGCGACATTTTTTGTCTGCCAGTTTGTTTACTTGCAGGAACTCCTTTGGCATTTTCCCACATGTGAATTCTGACCAATCAAAAAGCAGTTTAGGAAATATGTTCAATAATATCGGGCCAATCAGTGATGTGGATTTTGTCACATGACTGCATTTTGGTTTTTTTCAACTGGTTCAGACCAAAAAATCAATTTGGTGTGAAAAGAATGCAAAAATGGCAGACAAAATGTTACAATGTATCATTTGTTTCCCTTGGTCCAGACCAAATGAACCGAAACACAGATGTGAAATCACCCTAAGGATGCTTATACACCTGTGAATCGATTCATTTGTTCTGAAACGGGATTAAAATAGTTACAATGTTGCTCTTTGTTCTTGGTGCGGTTCGCTTTCACACAGAAAAGTTTCTAAACAGACCAAAATAGCTAAAACAAATCATGTGCGAGTAAATTCTCCTCACATTAGTCAGAGTTTCAGGGTTTATTTTACAGAGTCCCGCTGAGCTGTCATGCGTCCTTATTTTAATTTATGACGATGAGCAATAAGACATTATAAGCGAAAACCTGCTCTTTAATTTTAAATGGTGACACCCACTATTAAATGGTCACTATAGATCAGAGGTAAGTATACAAAGCAGATGGCTCATGCATTATAGGCTTTACATTATAGAAAGAAATACCAGATAAACTACTGCAGTTCAGTCAATTTTCGGATAAACAGCTCTTGTTAATAATTCAGCATGCTTTCACTTTCGTATTTTATCAGTTTACCAATTACCAGTAGGAATGACATCCCGCCCTACTTATCATTCTCTTTTCATATAGTCGCATATATGCCTATTATATATCCATAATACACTGTGATATAGCTGGGCTCGGATCGTATCGCTTTCTCACTACAATTGGTCTGCTTCAGAGTTTGTTTTAATCGAGCCGAGTCCACCTCATTCAGGTGATCTCGGAGCGATTGATTTGGCCCGGATCCAAGCACGATTGCTGGATTCACATATGCCAAATGGTCGCGCTAACTGGGGAAACGAGACAGGTTCCGAAACAAAAGTCTAGGTGTGAAAGCACCCTAATACTCTGAAAACTCTCAAAAATCAACTTAATGAAATAACCTGTTGTCCCAGTTTACAATCAAGCCACTAGCACAACGATGTAAGTATACACTGTAAAAAATGCTGGGTTCCACAATTACTCCCACCTGTCCCAACTCAAATCAATGAAGTTAACTTCATCATTTAACAAATCTAAGTGGATTCAACATAAAACAATTCTGTTGTCCCAAAAACAACTTAAGAGTTGTGTTGTTTCAACTCATTTAAATTAAATAGTTTGAAAAAGCAGCAAAAGTTTTTTGATAAACTTTGTTTAATCTATAAATAAATAAAGGCCTTAGTAATCAATCAGTTTGTCACCCAGTGGTGTTGTTAAAATTTGCTAATATGCAAATCTGACTCCCAAGTATTTGATTTGTCAGTTGTCATGTTTACGAAAGGAGAGCATTGCTACGCACCAACTGGAAACTTACTGCAAGATTATGATCCCCTCAAGATGCAGCATTTTGATTCTAGCACTTCTGATTAGGCATAGGCCGGTATAAGATTCTGACGGTATGATAACCTTGGATAGAACTATCACGTTTTACTGTATCACGGTGTTGTGATCATCACTGTAAAATATATTCTTTTAAATGTCTGAGTAAAAAACAAAACCTTTTTCCCCCATTTATAACATTTTGGAGCGGTACACGTCAGGCTAAATAATTTAAAGGATTATTGACTGAAAAACACAGATTTCTTTACCATTTAAACCTCTATTTTTGTATATCTTTTCTGCTGGAGATATTTTCTCAAAAAAATGTATATAAAAACAAAAATCCTACACATACCCTAGGAACGGTATTACAGAAAATGTTGGCGGTTTTATAACCTTGACTTTTCCAAACCGCGGTATATCTTGAAAACGGTTATCGTCCCATGCCTACTTTTGATGCATGAGATGAGAATTCAATTTTATAGCACTTTGGGTCAGCACTCAAAAGTGATTTTTGTTGCTTGTTCAAACTACTTCGAATGGAATGACCTCAATTCTTGAGATTTGTTTTGGGACAACTTCGTTGTTTTATGCTCAATCCATTTAAGTTGGTTATGTTAATGTTAATTGTGTGAAATCCTAATTTTTTTTTTATTATTTTTTTTTTTACAGTTAAACAGTTTATGGTACATTTCCTCCACACTTAATTTAAAACATTTTCTCCTGTGGCTCTGCAGTAAGGATGTGTTTCTGTTACATTTTACATTGTAGTTAACCAACAGAAAGCAGGTTAATATATTTACATATTCTTCCTGTGACTATCAGTTTATATTCATCCTTTATGGCCTAACTTTGATTAAGGACAATTTTACCAGACTATGTACATTGACTGCTTTTTCAGCACACTCGGGTTAAGAATGTGCATTTAAACGTTGTGTGTAAAATGAATACCAATGTTTTGTCAATGCTATCTTACCGTAATTCGTAACTGATTTTGTGGCTAATTCGTATGAATTGGTACAATCTCATTCGTACAATTTAGTATGATTTGCTCATTCCTCACTGACGGTTGAGTTTGGCGGTGGGGTTTGGTGACATACCTCCTTTGTATTTTTTGTATGACTAAACTCGTACAACTTTGTACGAATTAGTCACTAAACTGGCTAAACAAAATAGCATTAAAAAAAGGACCTTTTTTTTTTTTTTTGTGAGATCAGTCTGTTTAACATGCATTTCTTGTTTCCAGATATCAGCCAGGGAACCTGAGCTCCTCCAGTCAGACTGAGAAGCTGGTGGAGCTGGTTGGTGGGGAGAAGGTGGCCGTTTGTGGAGACAGTGGAGATGAATATGGCGTAGAGCTGGATGACAGTCCTCGCAAGGAGAAATTCACTGCCAAACTCCTCCTGGTTCCCTCCAAAGACTCGCCAACGGAAATGTCAGGAACTATCGTCTATGGCACAACTGCAATTATCTGTGAGTTGAAGATTGCATTTTCACTTCTTAATGAATGCAAGTTGAAGAAGAGAGAGCTTATTTCTTTATTTATAAAGAAAAATGTCTGACTGCGATGCATGCACTTTTTTGGCTAATATTTTCAAAGTACACAAAAGCTCAATATCCCACACTTGTACATGAATACTTATCCAAAATGTAACCATCCATGCTCACCAAAGATAATGTATGTTTCTATTTTGTATGCTTGTTCCAGCTGCTTGCAATAAAGCTACTGTGCTGCCATGGCAATGCTGTATATATATATATATATATATATATATATATATATATATATATATATATATATATATATATATATATATATATATTATTTTTTTTAAGAAAATTATTTTGTTCATAAAGGCAGCATTTATTAAATGTAAATTGATTTCAATTAAATTCAATTGTTTTACAATTTTAAAGGAAATAATTACTCCAGTCATTATTGATTTTATTACTATTACCCGTAATTTTTTGATTTGCTGAAATAAATGCAGCCTTGGTGAGCAGGAGAAGCTTAAAACATTTAAAAACCACAATGAACCCAAACTTTTGACCGGTAGTGTACACATATTTGTTTTTAAAGTCTTACAATAAATATTTTATTTATTAAAATAACAACTATTATTTTAGCTATTTTAAATATTACTTAAATAATAATAATAATAACTATTACTAATATTATTACAAAGCATTTTCAGTTTGGGTTTTTGGCCAAATGCATCCAGGATTTTTCATTTCAGCTCAGAATTGTAATTTGTAGTGCATTTCTAGTATACAGTAGTTAACATTTGAAGTGGATCACCACCTTTCATCAAAATTGTCCTAAAACTATTGAACAATACCCATTCTTGTCTTAGGACAATTGTGAAAACTATTTTTGATTTATTTCGAATTCTGACTACTGTGTGTATATATATATATGGATATGGATATGGATATCTAGAGTGTATAGACCATTTTGAGGGACATAAGTAAGAACATTACTAAATGTATTTGCTATTCTGCATTGTTAATTTCTATAGCGTCCGACAATCCAAAAACAGCCACATATCGATAAATAATGTTAACATTAAGATATGATTGAATTGTCTCTTATTAGTCATGAAATAGTTTGATAACGAGTATGAAATATTCATAGTCCAATGACATGACCACATTGAAATGGTCTATATATTGGTTTTGTAAAATCAGCACATGATATCTTAATATCAGTTATACCACTGAATTGAGTTAAAACTAAATACTTCACATCATGGTCTCACTCTCTTTATCAAATAAATCCAGTGATGCTGAATAAAAAATACTATTTATTTACAATGATGATTGGGAAATCTTGATCAATAAATATATGTTCACAAGCTCCTATTTCTGATTTAGTAACAGGGTGTCCGCTGGGTCTTAAAAAGTATTTAAAGAAATTTAAGGCCCTTAAAAGTTAATAAAAAGTCTTAAATGATAATGCAAGGTATTAAATTTTGCATCAGCATGCGAAAGTTTGCCTGAATTTAATCTGCAACTATTGGGATCTCGCTGGAGTTGAAATCCTGCTTTACTGCAGTAAGGAAACACCATTTTTCTTGCTGTGGATTAGTATTTTTATTCAGTATTTGAATAACATTTTAGTTTAGGATTTGTTTCTTACAATTTAGTATTTATATATTATACTGTAAATTAAAATCTCGCCAATGTTACTGATTGAAACCTAAAGAGGTTTTAAAAGATTTGTGTCTTAAAAAGGGTCTTAAAAGGTGTTGAATTTCACTCTCTGATTCCTGTATATACCCCGACTAAATACTCTTTCATATTTGTAAGAATTAACAGTGAAAATCAGTCAAGTGAAATGACGTCAAGGAATGAAAAGCCACAGACCTCGATATTACTGTTTTTTATTTTATTTTTTTTAAATATATATAAATATACATACAATATGCATTTCAAGTACATAAAACACAACCATGTCTTTCATTTAAGATTGACATGGAAAAGTTGCTTCTATTTATCCTCTTAGAGGCTTGTTTCTGCATGAATGTTGTTGATCTTGACGAGTGCTGAGATTGACTGATGGAGCTGGCAGTGCTTTCTAACTCCAGCATCTTGTGTTGTGTGTAGCTGTGCTGATCACGGTGCTGTGCGTGGTTTTGGCTCAGCGTCTGGAGTCCATCATAAATCTGGAGATCGTGTGGGTGACGGCGTGTGTCATTCTGGTCCTGCTGTGTGTCCTGTGTGTGATTGTGATCTTCAGGCAGCCGGAGAGTAAAGAAGCTCTCACCTTCAAGGTACCCGATGTCCCCGATATTATTGATTTTTGCCTTTTAGTTATGCTACAATTATTCACCTCAAGTCTGAGCGCAAGTAAAGTGAAGTAAACAAGAATGCATTATTAGATCCAAGGTTATTTTAGAAATTAACTATAGTTTAAAACTGTAATTAATATTGTTTGTCTAAAACATTTTTGTAAACACAGAGAAATATAAATGTCTTAAGTAAGAATCTGAAATAAACAAAACTAAATTATAATTTAATTTAAAAAACAAACTGAAATAAAAAAAACAACTAAATGTACATAAAACAAATATCAGCATTTTACTGAAGAAGAATAAATAAAAAATCCAGTAAATCGATAGAAACACTGTCAAATGTTCTCTTAATTTTTTCCATAGCTGTATATAAGATATATAAGATCAGCTAAAGGAACTTATTGTTAATTGTATATCACTAATAAATCTTAATAGTCGTTTTTTAGCACCAAAAGAGTTTGCTCTGGATGTTTGTTATAAAAAAATCTTCCTTGCCCTAGTTTTTATTACAATTCTGTTCCCAACTCAGGTAATATATACCATCCTAAACAGGATCTGTTCCTTTATGCAGGTGCCTCTGTTGCCTTGGCTTCCTCTGTTCAGCATCTTCGTCAACATTTATCTGATGATGCAGCTGGACGTGGCCACCTGGTGCCGCTTCACCGTGTGGATGGCCATCGGTGAGCACATCTGTTTCTCTCAGAGCGTTAGTTTGCTTCCAGAATCAACATTTCCTGATCATTTCCTCACCCTTTTATTATATAAAATGCTCATTTCTTACTTTCAACAGAAAAAAAAACTACTTTTACTTTCAAAAAAGAAGTTTTCAATGAGATTTTAAGTTTTGTAATGGCCCGTTTTACCAGAGTGGTACGGTATAAAATGGTTCGGTTTGGTACGCTTTTATGACCGTTTCCACCGTCAATTCAATTCATCTTTATTTCTATAGCGCTTTTACAATGTAGATTGTGTCAAAGCAGCTTCGCATAGAATATTATAGTAAATAGAGACAGTGTCAGTTCAGTTTTTCAGAGTTTAAGTTCAGTTTAGCTTGGTTCAGTGCATCAAAAGGTGCCTAAAAGCAAAGAGTACCGTACCACTTTTTGGGATCCTTTAAAAGGGTACCTAGCATAACAAAAGGTGAAGCTAGACGCACAGCTGAACGCTAATGGCTTACAGTGAAGCGCCACTCATTTTGTTTTACCCCAGCATTTTCAATGGAGTTTCTGCGCCTGCCAGTTGATCTTGATGGTGCTAGCAGTTACACAGTCTTTAATCTCATTTTACACTTGAACAACTAAATGAATGCTTAAGGGTGCTTTCGCACCTGTGAATCGATTCAGTTGTTTCGAAACAGAGATTACAAATGTTACATTGTAGCACTTTGGTCTTGGAGCGGTTCGCTTTCACACTGCAAAGTTTCTAATCGGACCAAAAGAGCTAAAACAAGTCAGGTGTGAGTTAACTCTCCTCACATTGGTCAGAGTGTCAGGGTTTATTTTGGAGCGTCCCACTCAGCTGTCAGGAGAGGTGGTGGTTTGGTGATTGACAAGGTGCGCGAGCGTGCGACATGTCTGAGGAGAGATGCGGTGGGGAGGGGTGAGAAGGGTGCGCGATGATGCATATTTGAGGACCGGGAGGGAGACGCAAGATTACCATCACTTGTTTGCGGGCATCCGGAGACTCGCGAAACTTCCCGCCCTAATCATAATTCTCTTCATATAGCCGTATGCCTATTACATATCCATAAAACACTGTGATATAACCATGCTCGGATCGCTTTCTCACTGCAATCGAACCGATCCAGGGTTTGTTTCAATCGAGCCGAGACCACCTCACTCAGGCGGTCTCGGAGCGATTACTTTGGCGCGGAACAGAGCACGATTGCCCTGTTCACATATGCCAGCGAACCGCGCTAACTGGGCAATCGAGACACGTTCTAAAACAAAAGTGTAGGTGTGAAAGCACCCTAAGTCTATTTAACTGACTGTATTGTGATTACATTACAACATCAATGCTGTAAAAACAACCTTGTAAAATTGAAAATAGTCACATTTAAGCTTTCACCGGGAGTTTATAATTGGCTGAAAACACTAGCTGTGCATATACCCCATTATGAGTGTGCTCTACACTGGTGAGTGGGCGTGACAAACCAGCTTTAGGACACACTTTTCCGCTCAGTATGCTACCTAACTTAGACTTGTCATGGCATTAATATACTGCTACACTCTGGAGTACTTTTATACTTGTAAGCCGCTTCGGATAAAATTGTAAATCTAAATAAATGTAAAAATAAATGTAATCTTCAGCCGAATGAAGAGTAATCAGGAGATATTCATACTGGAAGTGAACCAATTTCTCGACTGCAAAAGCCTCCTGTTTGTTTGTTTGTTTGTTTGTTTCCTTAATTTCAACCCTCCCATTCCTGTTCTCTATTTCCAGGTTTTGCCATCTACTTCGGCTACGGCATTTGGCACAGCACTGAAGCCATGAATAGCTCGGTCCGAAAATACGAGCCGGCCCTTCAGAACAAAAGCCCCATCTATTTAGGCGGTGAGGAGAGTGAAATTGAGGGCATTTCTCCTTGATGAAGAAAAAGGAATGAAAGAAAACCCCGACAGGCATGTTTCCGTTCAAGTCTACAGATTTAATTTTATTGTAGAGACTGCCCCGAACCTCTTAATTCAGGTTGCTTTTAGCAGAAGCGTTAAGTGTTTCCCGTTAGAAGTGCAGCCTTGGCCCCTCAGTGCTGTAGATGTTGGTTTAATGTCCGTTCGGCTGCTGCTGTAATTCATAAGTACTGTAACAGCCATATTGTCTGGCAGACAATGAGCTGACTGTGTACAGGGTATTATGTTTTCATCATCGAGGTCCAAGCACATTTTTTTATTCGTGCGCGAAAAGCCTCCCGAGTCCAAACTGTTTATTGTCAACCTTGTGGTTTTTCAAGGTTGTGAAGTACAACAGAGGCCCCTAGTGTTCAGAATGTGAAAACGGCAATGCCTTCAGGCAGTATTTGAGGTCATTGGTTACAGTTAGGCGGAGGAATTGAAGAATTAAAACTGACAAAGCTTTTTTAAATATTTTAGCATGGCTGAGGTCCCATGTGTATGAGAGTCGTCCAAAGAGTGCGTGGAAAATAACATAATCGTTTCCATTTTCCTAAATATGACAGCTGTGTGCTGTATGTTGGGATCAGCCATTAAAATGATGTATTTTTAAGCGTGTATGAGAGTTTTTGAATGGCTCATAAGAGGTCAAGCCAGAAAATGTTCCATTTTACAGAAAAAACTAAAATATTTTTTTGGGAAAAACCTGTTTTATATGAATATTTATAGTTTACCCATTCACACAAGTTCCTTAGACTTGATTATACTTCAGAAAACTGTATAACAGCTATCATATTTCCAGACGCTGCTTAAAAAAGTTGCTATGTAACTATAGTTTCTGCTGAAACTACTTGCATTACCGTTCAAAAGTGGTTGTGTTTTGACCAAATATGTTTTCTTCCAGAAAACATTCAATTGTGGAAGACGTTATATATATATTTTTTTCGCAAAAGTATTAAGCAACACAACTGATTTCAACACTGAAAACAAGATGAGCTGTAAATCAGCATACTCTGACTTCTGAAATATCAACACTGAAGTAACGGCTGCTGAAAAATTGGCTGAATTTGTTTACGCAGATGTGTATACTTCAGTTAAGTGTGCAATCACACCATGTCATAATTACAGAAGCCCAAATAGTGATGAAACTTACTAGAATATACTTATACACAGACCATCATTCATTCACATTACATCTAAGGTATACTTTGACTTTTGGAATTTCAAATATGCCCTAAATTATAATAATTCACTGTTTTTGTAAAGAAAGCAGACACATATTAACGGTTAACTGTTTAATTGCCGATAAAAACTACTGCTGACTTGAAAGATTCTGAAAAGCTATATGGTTAGAAGGACTTTGAACAGTATTAGCTGAGCAGAAACTGTAGTTACCGCTCTAGCTTTGTTAGCAAGGCTAGTCTGCAATAATAACCAACTCACAGGTCAAGGGTTAAACCTAAACTTGCCTAAGGAATGAAGATCTAATGAAACAGGCTTCGAATGGCCTTTCTTTCATATCTGAAGGTGTAGATACTTGAGAAATAAGTGTCTCTATTGCTTTTATTTGTATTATTATTGTTGTTGTTTTTCATTGAAACTTGTTCTTGGCAGCTTGGCTGTTGAGCTCATGTACCGTTCTCTACTTTTGTTCAATATTGTAATGTAGTGTATTACTATTGTCACTTATCTTGTTCACACATCATATCTTTTTGATTTGTTTATATAGTATGACTATTTAACCCTTTGAGGAGCTGAGTTTCAGCTCTGTTTCAGCCAGTTTTGGTGGGTTGTGTTGTTTATTTTTGTTAGTGTGTTCAGATAATCAGATAGAAATGAAGGCTTGTCTTTAAGACAAGATGGAGGTTTAAAATCACTTTTTAAACACTATTGTTTAATTTAAAACCACTGTTGTTTTGAAACCCATTGCTCTCTTTAATGAATTAACATGATTAGAAGCCTATTTTTGTATAGCTTTACTATCTGTTTCGCAATCAACTGAGTTGTTGTTTACATGTACCAGACATGTAAAGTTTAGCATGTAAACATGTCCAAACACTGTCTGATTCCAGGCATTACAAACTTTTGATTCAATATGGAGGCTTGTGTCTCCTGTAGATCAGTGCCTGATGTTTCAAATGTACCTCAAAGTTGGTTGGTAGGTATCAAAATAAATACCAAGTCCTGTTATATGCCTTTGAGATACACTTGTAGTGTTACATGTGTCTGTTTATCAGCATATGAATATATATATATTGTTTGTCCTTGGGTTTTTTAAAACTGTAAATAGTCATGCCATGTACAAAGAAAATGACCTGTATTATAAACATTTCTGTTTTTCTTTTTTAAAATAAAATGTTTCGCAAAACAACTGTGGATTTGTGCCGTGGATTTTCAGCAAAAATATATGCGAGGGAAATCATTTTTAGATACAAAATCTTTTGTGTCACACATTTTATTGATAGTTCATCTCATCTCTCACACAAGATGAATAAATACGCAGTTAATAGTCATTTCAGTCGGCTAAATGACATGGTATTAGTCTGTAAGTAAAAAAAAAAGTACATTTCAGCAGCTACTATAATGTCGAGTGACGGGTAACAGTTTTGAAAGTGAAGTTTATTAAGAAGAACCAAAACAGGAAAAGGGGACATCAGTTCTGTAGAGATATCATGACTGACTTTAAAGAAGAAAAAGGCAGGAAACTCATATGTGCTTCCATATTAATGTAAATGTTCGGAAAAGATTAATAGTTTTCAGTTTAGCACGTTGCTAGCTTAATTTAGCAAAATGCATCACTTTTGTTTGGTCATTAAAGATCCCTTTGGTCATTAAAGTTCACCCAAATAGTTTAAATTTGATAATACATTTGCACCATTCACTTGTAGCAAAATTCTTAGTTTCTTTCTCATGTAGAATGCAAAAGAAATAATAAAAAATATTTAGAAGGATGCTGGAAACTTTTAGCTAATAAATTCCAAGATTTGGAAACACAAAGGGTGAGCAAAGTTTTAATTGTGATTTTGTTGGACGAGCTTTTAATGTTAGACATTGATTTTTAATTGTACTGAAACAAATTTAAGTGTGCGGTCTGAAGGGAAAATAACAGTTATCATATACCCTGTGAATGTCTCCCCCTTCTGTTGAATTCATGAATTCACAGGTCTCAAATACACCACTATTTATGTTTGGGTTTGATTACTTTTAAAGTCCTTTTTCATAAGAGCTGCATTTAAATGATTAAAATGTTGTTATTATAATTTTAAATGCTATTTAGTTCTCCAATCTACAGTGATGAAACCAAATTTTTTGTGCTGCTTTATATTTTTGGGGGAAATCGTGATAAACATTTAAGTAATTCATTTCAAAGATCTTCTACATAGTTTAAACGTATTAACTGTCACTTTTGATCAATTTAATGCATCCGTTTCCAGTAAATGTGTTAAAGGGTTTGTTCGCTCACCACAAAATGAACATTGTCATCATTCACCTATACTCATTTTTGCTTTCCAAAACCAAATTTGTTCATGTCCTGTGCTTTCATGAAACAAATAAACAGTTCAGCATCTGCCAAAAATCAGCAGACATGTTTCTTTCACTGGGGTTAGTTACTATTCCTCCAAAGAAAACAAACCTGTACACCTTGAAGCAAGCCAGAATGCAGGTGCTATATTACATATTTATATTTACAAACACCCAAACAAGTTGAGTATGTAATCTAAATCTGCACCTATTTGTTTTAATATGTCAGGCAGGTTGAGCTTAAAGGGACAGTTCACACAAAAATGAAGATTCTGTCATCATTTACTCCTCCACCGTTTTGAGTTTCTTTCTTCTGCTGAACATAAAATAAGATATTCTAAAGAATGTTGGGGCGGCATGATGTCACCTCACAGCAAGAAGGTCGCTGGTTCGAGTCCCGACTGTGTCAGTTGGCATTTCCGTGTAGAGTTTGCATGTTCTCCCCGTGTTCATGTGGGTTTCCTCTGGGTGATCTAGTGTCTTCCACAAGTCCAAAGACATATGGTATAGGTGAATTGGGTAAGCTAAATTAGCCGTAGTGTATATGTGTATGTCCTGGTCCTCCAGGTTGGTGGTTGAGCTTTGGGCTCGTAAAAATGAGACTTATGAAACATCAACATGGTGTGGCTAAATATCAACTTGGTTATAAACGGCCCTGGGAGTAAGTAAGTAAAGAATGTTGTAGAAAACATCCACTGACTTCTATAGTATAGTATTTTTTAGGAATGTCCAGATCTGATCACATGATTGGAAATTGGAAACCGGGTCTGATCACGCGGTTTCAGATTCGATCGGAATCAGACATTATCTCCCGATCAGGTCTTGAATAAACATGTAAATATATTTTTATTCTTGATATTTTTTAACACATCTATAGTTATGTGGTGGCACAGAGTTAGACCTCTTTCTTGACTTCACACAGAAACAGCAACACGTGCGGAATGACATCACTTTGTTGCAGAGACGCTATTGGTTAAATGCCGGCAAAGTAGAACATGGAAGCAGCTTGAAGCGGGAAGCGCGATGTCTGCGGTCTGGAGGTATTTTAAAGGTGATGAACAACATTTCCATAGCAAACTGTGAGATAAGTAAACTTGGCCTTGCCTGCCAGGTATTTTAAGTTGAGCTGCTATTTGTTTTTATATTAGAATTTTTTATATTTACTGTTGCACTAAAGTCCAAAAGTGAAGAATTGATGTTAGTTATTACTCGGTTGTTCAATCTACCTCACAGAAGTGCTCTGTTTGTTAACAGAGTTGTTGAATGTTAAAATAAGATGAACTAAATAAAAAAATAAGGAACATCCTGGACCTGTTTCTTTGCTCTCCTTTATTCTTTTTTTTTATATGTATTATAGAAGTATCGGATCGGGTTTCAGAATCGGTAGATACTCAAAGCCAAATGACTCGGATTTAGACTTGATTGCAAAAAATCTAATTGTGACATAACTAGTATTTTTTAAATTCCTACTATGATATCAGTGGCTTCATTGATACAATGGATGTTCAACAGAATAAATAAACGTTTTGAACCACTTGAGTGTGAGTAAATTTCAGTTTTGGGGTGAACTATCCCTTTAATGTTTAATTATGAATAAAACCTTAACTCTGTTCATCATGTAAACTGATTATTTCTCTTCAGATCGATTGAATTGAACCAACTTGATTCGTATCGATTTACTTTTTTATCTCTTTACGAATGATGTGAAGCATCAGATTTTCGAGTAAACAATCTTTCAGTGGAGAGACAGAAATCCCACATATTTGAGGTAAAATACAAACAAAAGTCTTGTGTATTTGAAACAACACGAGCGTGAGTAAATGATGACAGAATGTTCTCCGTTTTCCCCTCATCAAACAAACTCTTTAATATCCAACAAACAAAAAGAGCAATCACCGAAAATCATTTTAAAAGGCTAACTTTAGTGAACACATAAAGGGCTATTCAGTCCGGTGTGACATTTGCCTTGATCTTCTCATGTTCTGAAATCACTGCCTGAACATTTTGTGTAAACAAAGGATCGTTGTGTTCCTGCAATCGTTCACTCCGACCTTTCCCACAACTCAGTCCTCCAGACTAATCAAAGCTTCAGTGAGTTCTCCAGGTATACTAAAGTTTGCAGCTCAATCTATTTCAGCGAACAGGAAGTGTGTTTAAAGTAACTATGGAAGCAGGAGACACTGGTTGAGAGGTTGGAGAGTATATGTGGGCATGGCGATAGTGGGAGGGAGAAGGAGTTGCAGTGAAGTATGGTGAAACGAGAGTCTGGTGATCAACAGAGGCAGCGGCGGTCACTCTTGGTCACCTCCTCGGACGAATGCACCACATTGGGCACGAAGCCGCTCTTGACCCCCTCCCAGCCCTCCTGAATGGTAATATCCCCACATTTGACCAGCTCGAAGATGTCGCGTGTGAGCTCGGTGAAGGCCTTCTCCACGTTTATGGCGTCGCGGGCAGAGGTCTCCACGTAGCGCATGCCGTAAGCGGCTGCCAGCTTTTCGGCCTCCTGCTGGCTGACCTGCCTCTGCTGCTCCAGGTCGCACTTGTGTCCCACCAGGATGAAGACAATGCTGTGCGGCTGTACGTGACTGCGCGCCTCCTCCAGCCACTCGTGCACATTCTGGAAGGAGCGCCGGTTGGTGATGTCGAAAAGCAAAAGGCCACCCACTGAATTGCGATAATAAGCCCTTGTGATAGATCTAGAGCGCATGCAGAGAAGAAGAGCAGATGATTTTTAGACAGCCGCTGGATCAGGTTGTGTATTACACAACCTTTGAGCTGTATTTTATGTACAGATGATTATTATTATTACTGAATATTATACTATGGTGCTGTTGAATGCTTGATTTTGATTGGCTCATAATTATAATGACCACAATTACTAATATTATCACGCTTTTGTTTAAATGACTTGTAAAAAATGTAAAAAAGTAAAGAAAATAAATGTCATATACTCACACTTAAGGTATAATTACTTAAATGTGGATCCCTGCATTTTAGAATATTTTACTTATGTTTGTATTATTTTATGTCCCTTGTTTTATTTTATTAGTACATTTGACTATAAGTACATTTAAATAACTATTGTTATTCAAGGTATTGTTTGTTAAAACCTGCACTGCAAATCTACCACACAGTTTTTCACAAAATTGCATAAAGCTGCTTTATATAATCTAAAAAGGGCTGTGTGTTTTGACGAAAATATCTAATTGCAATTGTTTTGACGGATTGATTGATTTGCGATTTTGTTTTGTGAAGTCAAGCTTCAGCTCAGTATTGTCAATAGTGTGCAGCACACACTTTAAATAAAATAAATACAACATACTTTAACTCTATATACTACATATATAAATATAGATTTATTAACTGCCTGTAAAGACATGCATTTAACAACAAGCGTTTTGCGATTAGATAATTACAAAAAAAAAAAAAAAATATATATATATATATATATATATATATACACACACACACATACATACATACATACATACATACATACCATATATATATATTTCTATATATAAAAAATAAAATTAATATATTTTGGGAAGTTTCTCCTTTCATGGATAAAACAGCCAATTGGAATGTTATCACTCTATTGAATGGGCCATCCATACACATTATTAATCAGCTATAGATCAGCTATAGATCACATACGGCTGCGGGCAGAAGTTAACAAGAATTATTTATATTATTTATTTCCCTTTAATTTTATTTTACCTCTACCCCAACCATCACAGTAATGTAAAAACAGATCTGGATCTGGAGTCTTCTCTATTAGTATAGCTGATTAACCATGTGGATTGATGATAACATTCTTCTGAGAATACTAGTAGGCATAGAAGGCTCCTACTGGCCCATATTTATCAGCTGATAACCACTGATAACATCTATTCAATCGAGTGATAACATTCGAAGTAGAGAGAATTGAAAGGAAAGCATGGGGTGCTGAGAGAGGAAGTATTGACATAGGACCTCGAGGAATTAAACTCTGATCACCGTGAGCACCAGAGTGCTTGTGTTAACGCATCAACCACACTACACCATTACAGCCGACTGATTAGATGATTGAAATGTTACAGTATTTACTACGAGTTTTCAAAATCATGGTAATCGATAATTAAAAAACAATAATACGTTTTAAGTGATAATGAACATTTAAAAATGTAATACAAACTATCAAAAAATGTACCATTTATCATTTACCAACACGATTCTGAGGTTTTGAATGGATAAATTTATTAAAATACGTGAGTAATATATTACTAACCAATTTTCATGTTTAACAAAGATATTACATTTTAGTGACACAAAATAAAACACCTAAACAATGTTTTTTATGTCTGGTAAACATAATATAAGCTTTGACTTTTCGAATCATTGGATAAATAACGCACACCCAATCATTCATTCATTTCCCTTCAGCTTAGTCCCTTTTTTCATCAGGGGTCGCCGCAGAGGAATGAACTGCTAACTTATCTAGCATGTTTTACACAGCAGATGCCCTTTCAGCTGCAACCCAGTGCTGGGAAACGCTCAAAAATGTACTCAAAAATGTTGCAAAGAAAATATAGCAAGTTTTTAGGGTTCTTATATCAAGACCTGACCTAGTATAATATTTTTAAAAACTATAAAAATTGTTGGAATCATAAAAGGTGTGAAAGATGAAAACAGTTTTAAAATATCCAGGGTATTATGAAGATTATGAGAAAAGTCCTCACATTGTTTTTGTATTTAAAAGTGTAATAATTAATTTTTACTTCTATTGATGTATTTATCATTTGCTAAGATTTTTGTTAATGTTCTGTTTAGTGTGTTTCTTTTTTTATTTTAATCTAATATCTGGAAAATTATATAACATCCACAAACTAGCATGTACGACCATTATTACATTCATTTTAATCAATAAGTATCTTTATAAACACAATGTCTTTGTGTTTCTCAATAAAGTCTTACTAAAGTAATTGAACAGCTGTGTTTTCTAACTGAACAGGACATATCAAATAACTTGTCTTTTTAAAAATAGCTAATAGGCTTAAGTAATTTCTGAATTCACAGTAAATTTCTGAATATTTGTAAAACTATACCAGTTTTACCTCTGTGCAAACTGTTATACACTAGCTTAGCATTTTCATATTTGATTTTGATTGGCTGAAAATCTGACTTGTGCAGGATGAGTCATCAATAGTTTTATCTTGGTTTCCATTGAAAAGAAAACTATAGCCTATTTTAGACGCATATATCTGCTAAAAACCTTTGTTAAGGTGTACACTAGCACTCAAAAATGAATAAATCTCTCATTTTGATTTCTTTAAGCCATTAAACAGTCCACAAAGCTTTGATGTCTGCATGTAAATATCATCAAATACCACCAGATGTACCTGAACCTCTCCTGGCCTGCTGTGTCCCAGATCTGAAGCTTGATGCGCTTGCCAGGTTCAATCTCCACCAGCCGGGAGAAGAAATCCACGCCAACAGTCGGGTCAGACACCTGTGCAAAACGTCCTTCTGTGAAGCGTCTGATCAAACAAGACTTCCCCACTGTCGAGTCGCCAATGACAATCAGTCTGAACTGGTACAGCCATATAGCTTCCATATCTTACTTGATCTGTCAAGAGATAACAGTGTGATTAGATTACATAGTAAAACAATACTTAATGTAGCTACAGTATATCACTGGAATATGCCAGAGTTACTCATTCTTAAGCTTTCTGTTTTGATTTACTGAACTGAAAATTATAATTATGATCTTAAAAGTCGTTAAAATAGACTATAAATTGAGCCTTGTTTTATAAATGAACGGTTATTATTCGTGTTTTGTCGAATTACCTTAATACACATATAACTCGCGACTCCTAATTTGCAGCCCAAACCAAAAAATACATTTTATATTCGAAATATTTTGCAAATTAGCATGTCTGAGGTGAAATTGTTCAAAAGTGGTAGGCCTATATAAATTGTATGTGCTTATATGAGTACATACATTTTGTTTAATAACTAAATGTTCATAAATTATGATGTATTAATCAATTATAAACAGTTTCATGCTCCCTCTTAAGTATTAAAACGATGACCGATGAACAAAAATCGAGTCTTTTTGGTAAAGCTAGTTCCTTAAGCTAGCTAAACATAAAATGCTTGCAGGCCTACGAGTCGAGCATTGCATTTATTTAGATAAATCGCTTTATGAACGTTTATTATACACGTTATTACCTTCGTTGTGCTTCTCAATGTATGTGGATGGCAAGCCCCATATTCTTCGCTTTCTTTGAATCAGGAAGCATTAACACGGAGACGATCCCAGGCAAGTCACCTAAGCGTTTTTGAGGATAATTGTGCAACTAGTCCCGCTTTGAATGTGCACTAAATGACCAAACGAATGACCATGGTCGGTCTGGGGCGCCTGCATCAAGACCTGCTAGTGTCGGAATGCCCGTAGATTCTTTGTAAATTCATATTGTCAGTCTCATCATTAGAGATAACGAGATGTTTGTGGAAATGTGCTGATGAAATGGCAGTATCATCAGCATCATATAGCCTGACTCATCCCTCATCAGTACCATTACCGTAAAGGCCGATGGAGCGACGCGCTGTTGGACGTGGCCCAAATCTCCGCGTTTCTCACTGGACACTTCCGGGAAAACCACTGCGGGCCAACCAACTAATAAATAAATAATAATAATAAAAAAAAAAAATAATAATAATATAGAAAAAGCTAAAAACAACAATTACAACAACAACAGCTGAGAGCCTTGCTAAGCAGGGATGGGCAAAATACATTGAAATGTATTTTTAAATAAAATACTAAATACATAATACGTACATTTTAAGTGTGCCAAAACAAACTACAAAATACTGTAAATACATTTTTGTATTTTAAAAATACTACAAAATACTTTTTAAAGGTAGCATGATTTTTTAGCAAACCTTCCATCAATAAACATATTCAATCAGTTCCTTCACCATTAAACTGACATAGTAAAGTAAACAACGTTTTTATAACAGTTGTGGTCTAATGGTTAGAGAGTTGAACTTATAACTTAAAGTGGGTTTCTCTTTGGGTTTGCTATTAATTTTGCACAAATTTCACACAGAAAGTGCTGTCTTGAAGATGATATGCTTTGGTTTTTAAATCATTTAATGCCGCTAAGGAGTCAAAACATAGTACTATATGTTGATTATGTTTCCACACATTGTGTGGCCAATAGAATTCCCATCATCCATATCTCATTTCTTTATCAAAGATGCTGAGTTGTACACTACAGCCATTATAAATTTCTGGTCTTAACATTGCTCAGCAGCTGTTTTTTCAATGGTTGTTGCTCCTGAATATACCCTCATCGTTTGTCTGTTACTTTCTTTAAGCGTAATTTTCATCCACCCAATCATTGGAACCACTTGAATCATTGACCACCTTCTTAAAAACAAATTAGTTTTCTTGTTCTGATCTCAAGCTTAGGCAAATAATGAGAAAGCACCAATCAGGCTTCATTTTTATGATGTCATCATGTAGACTTCTTACAAAGTATTTTACAGTATGATAAAAAGTACAAAAAAATACAAGACATTAAGGTATTTTATACAAGATATTGACCCATTTTTATCAATTTCATCAAAATTACAAAATACTATTTTGTATTTGAAATATGTATTTGAAATACATGTATTGTAAATACTGCCCATCCCTTTTGCTTAGCATCAGTGAATTTCATACGAACTGTCAAAAATACTTATTATGGATAAAATGTGGGATTAAAAAACAGTTTGTAAATGTTTTAAATCTTTATTCAAGCTCAAAACATAAACAAAATCCTAAAAACCTAAAATAGACAGTGCTATTGTTGTTGTATTGGTTGAATAAATACCCTTGAAACTTTATCCTTCTTTGTCTTTCTTGTGTGACTGTGACAGAGACTGGCAGAGTTTTTTTTAATGCTGTTCTAGGAAAATTTATTTTAGTCTATAATTTAAACCAGGGGGCTGGGGTTTGGTGGATCCAAAGACCCACCCCCTACTGACAAAGTCCAGAATTTAGCCCCTTATTAGAGCTCATTTTTGAAAGTATGCCTTCATAAACTGTGAAAATAACCAAATAGAAGAAGGCTTTAAGACAAATCTAACTTTAAATTGTTCAAATGGAAAAAATCTGACTGAGGAAAGGAGCTGGCTAGTTTGTTATTTACCTATAGGCTACAGTTTTTCATTTAAAGTTTTAAATGAAAATAAATTTGTACTTTAAACAGAGTATTTCTTTGTTTAAAAATGTGAATTTTAAATTCTAATCTCATTAAATTTTTTATAAAACGGTAATAACGTACAGTTTAAAATGCTTTTTGTAAATTACACTTCGTGCTCAAATAGTATTGTAAGCAAATGAAAAAAAGGAGTGTGGTTATGATCACCATCTAACAAACTAATCCAGCTAAAATTAGTGCTTAAAATGTCACTAGAATTCAGTATTTAAACCTCATAATTTAAAAGAAAAATAAGGCAATTAACTGCAAAAACATCGAAAAAAGAACCACCTCTTTCAATATCTGGCTATGGGACAACTCACATATAGAGTGCAACATATCTGAAAGTAAAATCAATAATTGATTAATCACTAAATATTTATTAATCAAGTGTATATATCTTTTCTAAATTCATCAGTTCACATTAATTAAATATATTTTTTATAATAATCTTGTTTAATAGTTAATTAGTACTGTTGCCCTTACAGCAAGAACGTCACTGGTTCGAGTCCCGGCTGGGTCAGTTGGCATTTCTGTATGGAATTTACATGTTCTCCCTGTGCTCATTTGAGTTTCACTGAGTGCAAAAAGCAATATCAATTGAATAGTTTTTTTTTTGTTTTTTTGTCATCTTTAATTTGATTGTGTCATTCACAGTGCTTCATTGCATTGCAGCTCTTTTGCAAATGAAAGCTGGTTGGTTTGGTTCGTGGCTTATAATGACTTACGACTTTTTTAAAAACCCACATGTAAAAAAGACTTGCAGGTCCAGTGCTGCTAAAAAAGGGGTTTGGCACTAATGCACTTTATAGACCATTTCAATGTGGTCATTTCATTGGCCAGGAACCTTTTCTGCTTATTATCAAAGTATTTCATAACTTTAACAAGAGTCAGTTCAATTATAATTTGATGTAAAACAGCTATCATAACATTATATATCGATATGTGTCTCTTTTTGGATTCTCTGAAGCTACAGAAATAAAAAAAAATGTTAAACAGGAAATATGTTTAGACCATTGTTATCATTTACATCCCTCAAAATGGTCTATAGTGGTCCACAAAAACAGATTCTTATTTATTAATTTTTTTGTGAAAACCTTTATTCAGAAAAGAAGAAATTTACAATATAAATCAGGAAGTAATCTGTAAGAGACTTGAATACAAGTACATACAATTACAAAGTCATAAGAATAACAAGTAACAAATGAAAAATAGAAAGGAAAGAAACAAAATAAAGAGGGAAAGAACAAAAAAAGTAAAAAACGCACAAAGCATTAAAGAATAACTCACTGGAAGCATTATATTTTCTATAAGTTTCTATTAACTTGCAGAATATTTTTTGTTGGATAGACGCTTTAAGCAAAGAATCAATTTCAAATAAGAAATAAGCAAATGAGGAAGAGGAACAAGGAAATGTTTGTGGATAAAGAATTTAGCATACAAAAACTTATATGTTCTTCATTCTTAGTTTTGGGATTAGAATAATAACAAACAATATATTTTAATTTGAAGAGTTCTTTCATTGATTGTGATTTAATTAAATAATTATGTGAATCCAACCAAGACTTTTGTGAGATTTTACATGTAAAAACAATGCGAGTCAAAGTTTCCTCACTAAACACAGCATTTTATAACAAGGCATCTATGTTGCAACAATTACATCAATTATGACTTCTTCTGTTACCAAGAAAGACAAACAATTCTTGATTTTTTATAATTTTGTTAAAAAAATAAGACATCTTGATACAGAACATAGGCTAGATAAACAAATAAAATAAAAAAATTAAAAAAGGGAGTTACCATGTGGTAATCTTAGTACATCAAATCTGAAGTATTAAATAGCAGACACATTTATTTTTTAATTTATTCTTAGCCTTGTTATTTCTTGAAATTAAGGTCAAATACTTTTATTTACATCATACTTATTTATTTATATCATACAATATTTACTTATTTATATCATACAATATTATTTTAGATTCTTGAAATGTGCTATAGGCGAATTGGGTAAGCTAAATTGTCCGTAGTGTATGTGTGTGAGTAAGCGTATGTTTCCCAGTGATGGGTAGCAGCTGAAAGAGCATCTGCTGCGTAAAACATTTGCTGGATAAGTTGGCGGTTCATTCAGCTGTGGCGAACCCTTATTAATAAAGGCACTAAGCCGAAAAGGAAATGATTGAGTGAATGAATTCTTGACGTTTACTTTTTCGGACGGGGCGTGGTTATGACACGAGTTAAAGGGCGTGGCCGTCGAATTCCATCATCATTTCTGTAGGCAACGACAGCAAACTGAAGAAGCAGAGTTCATCCTTTTGCTTAAACTATAGTCTTTTCGTTTTGTTTGCATGGTTTTCGTTTTTTCTGACTTTAATTCATTATTATCTTATTTATTATGCATTTTTAAAATACTCCACTTAGTTTTTTTTTCTTATATGGAAATGGGAATGTACTACACAACCTGTGCTTGTATTTAGTAAGAGTCTCAGTAACATGTTGACACAGCGATCTGACTTAACTTTCGCCATTATATAAACTTTTCAAGAGCGCGTGCCTTATAAACTGTAATCCTTCAACAATGCTCAATGGATAAGCTGTGATACATAAGAACACTCATGTGCTACAAACTGTAAAAAAGTAGGTCAGTGCGTTTATGATCCGGGTGTTTACCTTATTACTATTTTTATTTTATTTTTCTTTTTTCTTTAAGTCGTCATGCAGAAAGAGCATCTGTTCAAAGTTCTGGTCATCGGAGACCTCGGAGTTGGAAAAACGTCAATAATCAAACGATACGTTCATCAGATATTCTCTCAACACTATCGCGCGACTATAGGAGTGGATTTTGCTCTGAAAGTGCTTCACTGGGACAGTCAGACGGTGGTCCGGCTTCAGTTATGGGACATAGCAGGTATGTCATTCAGTATATGTCTTTTTTTTTATCCAAATTGTGTGTATTTTCTTACAAGTTGCTGAATTTAGGAGATCTACATTACTGGTGTTATTTTTGCTGGCCAAAAGGTATTGAAGTATTAAATATCTCTATAAGGGAACAGTTATTATTTTGAGGGTAATTCTAATATGATAATAATATTTATGCTACACTGAAAAAAATTATTTAAAGATGATTCCTTGGATTTACTCAATCTTTTTACGTTAAGTGGTTGTAAACAATTTATTTGTGTTGAATTTAAACAAACAAATTAAGTTGAAGTTTGTTCAATTTAATTTGTTTGTTTAAATTCAACACAAATAAATTGTTTGCAACAGTTCTGCATGCAACAC